TTTACATTGTAATATGATGTGTGTGTATATAGGGATTGTGGGTGCTTTTTATTGTATTTCATATTTATTTAAATTTCTTTCATTTTTTTTCCTCTATGCCTTATAGGATCAAGAAAAAGGTATATGGAGATGAGCGAGTGGAAAGTTTCAAGAAGTCTCAGGTAAACTTTGTGAAAAATAGATTATATCTTTGTGAATCATTGTTTTTATTTTGTTTCTTCTTATTTGGGGGAGGGGGTTTTGGTTTTTTGTTGTGGATTTCCCTTTTTTTACTTTGAGACAAATGTTAATAGGATGCTAGGATTGAACTCCCCATAACTGGCCCCCAAGTACCTGATCTCCTAATTTCCCTGTATTTTTGATGTTTGTGAAGGAGAGGCAAAATGACAGCTGGCATGTGGCTTTTGCTTCATTTCATAGTTTGGTTCAAGCCTAACTATTTAAATGATGGCAAACATGCACTTGTATATGTGGCCAAGGCAGGTTTGTTTAACCACTTGCTGCCGGGAGCCCGGTTTCAGACAGGTATTCTTCACATGCACAGCCGGGGTGTCCGAAATTGGACATGGGGAACTAGGCCTTGTAACACAAGACCGTGTTCGTAACAAAAGACCAGGCTGCTGGGAATTACCAACATTTTTCACTGTCAGTAGCGGAGATAATCCAGCCTTGTTTTGAAACAGTATACCACTGTTTGTGGCATTCAGTGCGAGCGGATTACCATCGGGGACAAAAGCGCTCCACCGCAGCAGCAATGCACGCTAATCTGGCCCCTGTTGAAAAGACGTCAGCAGCGCACTGTGTCAGTTTCAGGAACAAAAGAAAATTACGTAACACCGCACAATCTGGGCTCTTTTTACAAGGAGGCAAGCCTGCCTGAAATACTCTGGCGTCAATAGATGTTGTCTGCCTGATTGAGTAAAAACAAGACAGTCATTCATGTGGGTGTCCATTAAATGAAGATATGAATTTTGAAAACAGAAAAAAATGAAAAATAATCCAGCCCAGCAGAATCAACATTTATGCCCCCGGCCCGAAGTGGTTAAATACAGTTTGCAGTGTCTATGGGGAAAGTAGCCCTTCTGTTGTATTTTAAGAACCTAGACAAATGACTCAGGGCAGCAGACTCAGACTGGACCTGCATGACTTGTGACTTGGCAGAAATAGTAGTGTGCATTAATGGGTAGTTTTGGAACCAGGTACCCGATTCACATTACGGGTGGGTACCCAGGTACCCGTAATTAAAGTGAAGATCAGAGCAAACTGTGAAAGTAAAGTTTTCAAACTTGTCCACGCCTGGTCGAAATGTCAAGTTGACACTCAACGGCTCTCTTCAGAGCCTCACCTCTTCTGAAGAGATAGATCCCATGGTGTACTCACAAATCCTTACCATAAATAAAAAAGAGTAAACCTGAGGTTGTGGAGTCACTTTTGTGGAAAAGTTTGTGTTTTATTAAGATTTTTCTTCCAGTAGTTTTCTAACAAGTAATCAATAGAGGTTCTGCATAGCAGCCATTTTTCCGGTAAGAGCTTTTGTTCCACAGGGATACACATGAGTAGACCTTTTGTACTATCCTCCGTAACACAACAAGCAGTTACTGGAAAGATAGCTGCCGTGCAGAACCTCTATAGAAAAGGGTGCATGTCTATTTTCAGATTTCAGGTACCTGGGTACTCGGCACGGCCTTAGTCAGAAATCACAGCATTGCATGGTTTTTTTTTCACTGAGCAAAACGGTGCGTGATGCAGCTACTTCAGTGCACATGTGGTTGCAGATATATTGATTAGGGAAATCAATTTACCGAAACATGCACCCTGTCTAAACTTGATACTGTATTAGTACATGATGTATTCGGTATTATACGCAGGCTTGGGCCCTACCCAAGCAATAGCTTTGAATCACGTGTATTAATTTGATGGTCGAAGAATCTCTGTTTCAGCTGGTTATGGGTCCGATGATCTGATGTCAGTTCGGTCTGTGCATATGTGAAAACACAAGATGGGTCACGGCATTCATTCCAAAAATAGTCAATTTTGGGTTTATTAATTTTAAGAGAAATGCAAACGGAAGATCAAGCGCAGAATGCAAATTCTGTACAAGAAAAATGGAGGAAATAATGTGTTTCCAATTAACACAATAATGAAGGTGACTCTTGACTCAGACTCGACCCAGATGTCTTGGGACTGGGACTTGATGTTTTGTGACTCAAATACGAGTCTGTTTGGGGGAGTTGAGAATCTTGTTCCGAGTTCACTGAGGATCGTGCCATGCATAGTGCAACACCTGCAAATATACTTCTATGCAAGGCCTTCTAAATGGAATTTCAGGCTATTCATGGTGAAAGACAGCAATAGGTGGAAAGGCTTGCGAGAGTACAACAAGCCACCACCATAGCAAGAGACAGACTCCAGGCGGACACCACCCTCAAGGATCACACTGACCTCACCCCAAGCCAGCTCCACAACCTCCTCACCACCTGCGTCAACTCAACTAGCTTCCGATGGCGGGACAAATTCTTTGAACAGTTAGCTGGAACGTCTATGAGATCCCCTATATCCCTGGTTCTAGCTGACATATTCATGGAAGAATTCGATCACTGAGACCGCCAGCCCTACTGCTGACCATCGTCCCAAGATCTGGCTCCGGTATGTGGATGACACATTTGTCATCTGGCAGCACGGGCAAGACAACCTCTGATACTTCTTGGATCAGCTCAACAGGCTTCACAACAGCATCCAGTTCACCATGGAACAAGAAAGAAATGGCAGCATTTCCTTTCTTGATGTTGAGGTGTTCAGAAGTCAAGATGGCTGCCTCTCCCGCAAGGTGTACTGCAAACCCACTCACACCGACAGATACCTCAATAGCTCCTCCTTCCGTCACCCCAAAATCAAGTCGTCTGTCAACCGTGCCCTTGTTCACAGGGCCGACAACATCTGCGACAAGGAACACCTCACCAAAGAACTGCACCACATCTCCACAGCACTTCAGCAAAATGGCTACAAGCCCCAGCAGATCAAGACCCAAGACTAAGATCCCCTCCCAGCCGAAGGGTCTCCTATACCCAAAGCCAACTAGATAAGGCCCCTAGTTCTGTTACTCTCCCCTACCCAGGTTTTACTTCCCACCACATCCAGCATATCCTGAGCAAGCATGACATCAAGGTATTCCACACAGCCCCTCTCAAGATCCGCGGCATGCTGACATTCCACAAGGACCGACAAGATCCGCACCACCGACCAGGGGTGTACAAGATCCCCTGCCAATGCGGCAAAGTGTATATTGGCAAAACTGGTTGGGACCTCCCCACCAGACTCAAAGAACACCAAGCCCATGGCAGGAAGGGAGAGTATGAGAAGTCAGGGATAGTCTGAAAGTCAAGCATTCCCACTCTGAAGACCACTTCATCAACTGGGACCAAGGCCACCTCATCACCAGCATCGAGCACTGGTATCCAAGATGCATCAGAGTAGCCTTGGAGATCCTCAAGCATGACACCGTTCCCCAAGACATCGGCTTTTCCATCAGTGACATCTGGCAACCCCTGCTCACCTCCCAGTCCAATGGGTCCTCTATACCCTAGCACACCCCCACCCCGCCTATGGGTCTCCTATATCCCTGGCCACCTCACCCCACCCAAATTTATGCCCAACTGACACACCTCACTGACTTGCTGGACCCCGTCTGCATCCAGTCACCTTATATAAACAGCTCCATCTTCAGCATCTCTTCAGTCTCCTGACAATGGACTGATGCAGTCCCAAACGTTGAGTATACTCCCGGTTCTTTTCAGAGGGGCTTCTAAACTTTAGATTTCCCAGTCATTTGCCCATTGCAAGGGCTGTATGCATGCTTGTTAGCACAGTCATCTTAGCTTCACATTGACTGTCAGACAGCCATCTTGAGTCAGAAGCAAAGGCAATCCCTGCCAATGATCTCTGAACATTTAATGCCCGCTGAAATGATCTAGCTCATATCTTGGATCTAGCTCAGCATCAACATGGAATGCAATGAGGCTCCAGTGCTTTTACCATCACAATGAAATTGGTGCTGGTACATGTACATTATGACGGAGTTGGTCTCATAGAACTCATATGGAACATACATGTATTTATAATGTGGCCCTGTATGGGTAGTACCAAGTATGCATAAAAAGTCATGTCACCTTTATTATCCAAATACTTTTAAAATGAGGCTATACCTGTGCATGTACTTGATATTGTTGAAAATTAGTCTGGCTCTATATACTTGGTATGGTCGAAAATTAGTCTGGCTCTTTCCCATTTAATTGTCTTCAGTACATGAAGTGGATTTGGGGAGCATGATCCAAAATGGGCGCCTTCTGGTTACAGCCCATGGCCTCAAGGTGCGAGACAACCATGGTATGCATGCACACATATATCCTTGTGGAGCCATTGCTTTCTGTGGTGTACCTGTATAGCGAGGGGGTTGCAAGTGTGGCCCACAAACAGTCTAATACCATTGCCATTGGTGAAAATGAGATAACTAGGGCAGGAATATGATCGTGCAATAGATCAGAAGGGTCTCCACAAGGAAATTGTAAAGTTGAAAAGGCCTCCACAAGGATTTTACAAAATAGATATTCTGAAATTTCTTTGAAAAAGAATGTGACTGTGGTTCAAATAAGAGCATTTTAAAAACCATGCCAAACCAGAATTTTTATTCACAAGTCGTATACGCAGCTATCTCATTTTCAGCAATGACAGGGGTATTTTTGTGTAGAACTTGCAACTCCCTTGCTGCACATGTACACCAGCCCTACCTCTCTCTATTCATCAGTGAGAGTGGGGTTAGGTGTGCAGCATCTCACACCTTCTGCCCTCCCCCAAACGGGTACATGATTACTCTCTTTTAAAAACCCCAGCAGTGGCAGTGGATAGACGTTACTTTGAATGTAAATTTGTTTTCTCTCTTCACAGATGAACTGAAATCAGGATTTCAGGTTGATGAAGACATCTTCAATTCCAAGGTGGCATTAAATTTACCGGTATTGATGAGTGAGGATTATTGACCAGTAAATTCCATCTTTAAATTCCATTCCTATTGGTGTAATTAATATGAATTAATAAACACAGCTTAGGATTAGTTTGGATTGGTTTCATTTTTTTGTATTAAATACAAAACAAATAAATTTGTCTTGTTCTGTATGACTAATGAAGGGTTTTGTTCAGATTTTAATATTGAGCATTGTACATGATATTTGCACTCTTAAATAAAACAGCTTTTTTTAATCATGAAAAACTTAACTTCTGCATTGTAGTATTAATATCCGACGGTAGGCAAGCTGAGATAAAGGTGACGAGCTTCTGGAGACGAATATATGTGTTTGCAGATACACAGGAATGTCTGTCTGTAGGTGAAATTACCTGTATGTAGGATCATTCCAAGAAACCCAAACTTGGTAAAAGTACAGCATTTGTAGGTTTCATAATTATTGAAAAGAACTGAAGAGATTTTGGGTTATTGTTGGTCCATCAGTGATGTCTGTATTCAGTCAGTACATTACACAGTAAGATCTGTTTGATAAATGTCAATAATATGAACAGGGTAATAAAAGTTCTCAATGTACTTTTGTAAGACTAAAAAGCCTATTAAGATGACCACGGTACGGTACTGAGTGTTTTTTCTTGTTTCTTTTTAATACATGTTAAGTACTTTGCATCTGAAAACACACATTGAAACAAAAGAAATTAGCCGTGACTTTTTGCTTTCAACTTAAAAAGCTGGAACTCTACTGCAATGTTCAGAGCAACTAGCACTGCTGACTTACTGTCAACTGGCAGTTGTCCAAATTTGACAGGGATTTTTTACTCCATATTTGTCACAATTTCTATCCTTTAACATAAAAGACTGATTTACTTTGAAACAAAAAGACAAAACTCAAATTATACCAGTAAACAAAGTGGAGTTAATTTTGATATATAGCAAACAAAAGTGCTCCAACATTTACTTACATGTAGAAACTGAAGTTTTTGTGGAGTTTCAAATGGAACTTAATCTGACTGGGTAAGTGTTCCAAAATGACAATGAAAATAAACCTCTAAAAGGTAAAAACCAAGTACATGTACATGTACCATGTTAAAATCCTCAAATATACCACCAAGTGAGTTTCGTTGAAAGAAACGGATGCATATGCATTTCACTGTGTAATGCTGCAGAAAAAGTAGTGTCAGATGTATTGGTCACTGTACTCCCACATGCACCTGTAGTACACCACAGGCTATTACAAAGTGTAGCAAGAAAATGAAAGAAGAAAAGTGCTGCAACTACCATGGAATTATTGTGAAAGAAATCAGGACAAGAGTTTCACAAACCCTTGCATGAAATCACCTTTTTCTAGGATTAACCACTAGCTGCCAGGGAACCCTGTTTCGAGCACCATGGGTTTATACACAGAGCTGGGAAATGAGACAAAAGAGCTGGTCCATGTAACAATTTAAGACCGTATTCGGAACAAAAGACCTGCTGATGAAAATTGCCATCATTTCTCGGCTTGCATTAATCCATCACTGTTTTGGGCATAGCGCGCCTGCGGATTAGCACCACGGACAAAAGTGCTCCAGGGCCCCATTGATGAGCGACACAGCACCGCTGCATGCCAATCCAGCCGTGTTTGAAAAGACGCCACTCGCATTCACTGGGGGCAAAGGAAATTACGCAACACCTCACAATTCTGGGCTCTCTTTACAGGGCGGCAGGCCTGGCTGAAATACTCAGGAGTCAATGAAGGTTGCCTGTCAGCTTAGAGTAGCCACCAAACAGTCATTCGTATGAGTGTAAACATCCATTAAATGAAATGAATATTTGAAGAATTTTGAAAATTGAAAATCTTGAAAATCGCCCGTATGTGTGCACTGCATGTTTAAAAGCACCCGGCAGCATGTGGTTAAATCCATGACCCTACATGTATGTACCACTCTCCACCTTGTCACACAGATATTCTAAAAAGTGAGAGGAACCTGAATAGTTTAATTTGTACTTGCTAGTTTTTAGAATTCAAGACTGAGTTCAGCTCGGGCTTGAAAGATGAATACAAATGCATAAATCCTGTCATAAATACATGTACCTATGCATACAAAACACTGCTTTGACAACTGCTATGCATTTACAATCCTGAGTCCTACCAAATACAAATTGCAATTTTCTTGTATAGGTTTCATATATACACACACACCACATATAAAAGTACACTTTGTAGGTTAAATAACTCAAGTTTAAATTCTTGTTAATCTTCTCGGCACCAGAAGTGATATTTCACGTACTGGAAGTGACAGTTTGTAAAATAAAAGTGTAGAGTAAAGTGCATTAATTTATGTCTTAGGCATTTGTCATGTTTTCAAGACCTGAATTCTCACCACCCACAGAGCCAGAGTCTGTCACAGAGATGGTAGCCACATCCGGCCCTGAAAACAAGTCGAGTGTGGAACAGCTGTTTGTGAGTTGAGAGTCTGATGTGTTGCTGGCATCTGCGGACCTTTCGGTTCTTGAAAGTCCTTCCCTCACTGAATGCCCACAAATATAAAAAGACATTTTCAGGGGACGCCTTCAGTATCCAATTCTTACGTTCAAATGATGGAGCATAAGAACTTAAAAAAAAAAAAGAACTCTTTAAGAGGAAACTGAGCTCCATAAAAGAACCACACACTATACAACAGGGGCATTAAAATTTAACAAAAGAAAACAAGATGCAATAAAGCATAACCCCTACCAACAAAGCCAACTAAAAGTAGGGTCACACATTTCAAGTTGACAAACTTGATATAAAACTTTTTTCTGCTCGGTAATTCTTACATTGCATCAGGCAAACTTGAAGACGAAACCTCACCTTGGTGTGAGGTTACTTTCACTGTGCATATCCCCCCACCCCAAATTATATTTTACACTTTTGATTTCCAACTTCTGCACATCCCTGGCTGTTTTACCCCCTCCTGGGCCTTTCATGATCGTGTGCACTGGATGTTGAAGTCACAGAACATGTTTCGGGCCATCATTTCAGGACAGTTTTTGGCTGGGTGTTACGGCAATGGTATCATTTGATGACATAATACTGATCGATAATGTCAAGAAAATCAACTGGTAATGTAAAAATGCAAACTGACCAACAATAAAATAACAAAGAGGGCACAATGTACTCCCCATGGAGTTGCTCATATTTTGCAATGGTCTGGTGGACTTTTTGTTTGATCCTACCGTTTTAATGCATAATTATTCAGTTCTGGAACAACCCTATCAAAGGTGGCCATTTTCTTTTCAAGCACACTTGGGATAAGAACGAAGTCCTTAGCAATCGTGAAGTTGAAACGTTATACGGTCTTGAAGATATGTTGCAGGGAACTTTCTTCAGGGGTGAGATTGACCTGTGAAAATCTCCTATACTTTTGTACACAGCCAGTGAGGAAATAAAGCTGAAAAATCTCACCCCTGTACCGGTATCTTGTGGGGAAAAACCTCAAAAGCTGGTCACCTACAAAACGCTAAAATAGGTAGGATTGGCAATGAATACTTGAACATACAACAAGTCCCCAAAATTTCGCAAAGTACATGTAAAGCAAAGCCATGATTATTACGTCATTGGTCTCTTTGTTATTACATTATCGATTGGTTTGGGGTTATTACATCATTGGCCATGTCGGCCATCTTACTTTATTATTTTATTTTGTCATTTTCATTACATCATTGGTCGTAACACCGGGGAAATTTTTTTCTTGCTTCAATTTTCACCTTATCCCTCCAGAACTTGGTTTTGTCACTTAATGTCAGCATCTACAATGTTGGCACTGTGACTGGCGTTGATGCATAGATTGGATAGCCCAGGGGCGGATCGGCCGCCTGTATGGTCAGATTCCTCAAGACAGTAGGATGCGCCTGGATGCTGTAACGCTCCTCATCATCATTCGTGAAGTACAGCAGCTCCAGGTTGAGGGACGCCCAGAGGGACCGCACCACCTCCGCATTGAGTCTGCCAATGTGAGCCATGACCGGTTGGCGGGTCAGCACGCGACCTTTGTACACACCCTGAATGATACCAAGAAAAAGGGGCGGGGGAGTATATGGTTTGCCCACTCAATTGGCAGAGTGTAAAGAGAAAAACAAGTAGGACGGTACGTGGTTGAATCTTGTTTGGTTGCAGGGACCAGCCACATTGATGCTAGAACCTTGATATAAGAGGATTTGAAACACGAAGAACAGTAAAAGAGTTCAACTGATTGAGACCCAAAGACTTTGCTCTTTGTAACACTATAGGCCTTTTCACACTAGACAAATCTAAGGGTTGGCACGGGGTTGAAGCAGGGTTGAAAACTGGCAGCGATTCACACTGCATCAACCCCGAGATTGACTTCAACCCGAGTTGAACTGAACCCTCCTTTGGACCAGGGTTGAGATTTTCAACCGGAGTTGAAAATTATTTTTGCTCATTTCTGGGTTGAACTCACCCCGATAAGCTTAATTCATACGAAACAAGTGTGAAACTATGCTGAGTTAAATGCTGGATTGAAAAATTCAATTTTCAACCCAGGGCAGCCATGGGCTGGCCCAGGGTTGAGTTCAACCTGGGTTGACAGGCTGTCGTGGGAACAGGCCTTATTTGTAGTAATATTTCTCTTTTTCAGCAGTCATATGAACCTGGTGGAGTGTTATATGAACCAGCTCAATGATGTTTTTGATCACCAGTCTGGTCAAGTAAGATCTTAGACTGCTGATAGACCCCATTATCAGCTCACACAAGACTGTTTACAAAGAACTTTTCATGGGAGTGCAGTGCAAAGGAATCCTGGCAAATTGTTTTGATGACTCCTTCCTTTCCTTTTTTTCCAAAGGACTGGAGTATTGGAAAGAAAACATGTTCTGGGGAATGGAAAATTGCACACATTACCACAATGAACTAACAGCAAAGGCACTGCATATCTTCACAGTCAACACAATGAGCATATTCCAAAATGGGGGGTACATGAACATGTATGTACTTGGAACAAGACAGCACTTTCTAGGCCCTGTGGAAATTTTGCAAGGCCAAAGACTGCGAAGTCAGTTGGTACATGATGAGTCTGTTGACTGTGTTCAAGGTGGACCCTACACAGACACTTTCCACTGGGCCCACATCCAACTTACCTCCGAGGCATCATGCACCAGGGAGAAGAGCTGAGGCACCCCCTTTTCTACCGACTCCGCCCACTCTGGCTCCCGGTCGCTACCAAAGTAATACCCTGTCTCGTACTGCTGGAGGTATTCAGTAATTTCCTCCAAGTCCTCCGTTCCTCCCAGCACTGCCTGGTCGTAAGCAAGCTTGAAGGCAAACCTGTAAGCCAGGATAGTGGACAAAAATTTACAGGAAGGAGCTGAATTTTCTGGGATGTTGGTTTTAAGAAATTTTTTAAAAGTGCTTTACCCCATCAGGACTATTTCATTTATGCTTTGCTACAATTTTAGACAAACGTGAATTATTATTTGATGAAAATCCAACATTTTTTCGAAGATCACACTGGGATACAGGTACTTGTATATGCATCCTTACAATTTCGTTCTCAAGGATTTGGTTCTTCAAAATTAACTGTGCCATAGACTCACATGAAAACTACACTGCATTTTGGTAGATACAAAGAAACATGAATCTGCATTTTGTGTAGTTTGCTTCAGAATAATCTTCCTTCTGAAATGTTTGATTCGTTACCTGTAAGCTTTGATGACCAATGGAAACAGCTCCTCATCTTCTTTCAACCAATCCAGATTGGTTGACCATGGGACATCACCGCTGTACACTTTATATACGTGGCTGGCTCCAGCAGACACTACGTCTTGACCACTCAGGCCAAACACATTAACCACTGCGTAGCATGCCATGGTCAGGTGTGTGTACATAGCAGTTAGTGCATCGTCGGCAGCTATCTCATCTGCAACCTCCTCAGAGCTCTTGGTTCCTTGGGACAGATCCATGTGTCGTAGGACATGGCAGTACCAGTCTTTTGGGAAGCGACTGAAGAGGGAGGCGATGCGACTAAGGTCAACTGGAAGGTGTCGCCATTTGAGGGGCAGACTCAGCCTGGAGGAATGAAGGGAAGAGAACTGGACAGATCCTGCTAAGTTGAGAGACTTACTTGGCATGGAATGCATTGGGAATGTCTGGGGATCCCCAGTTTTTGTGTTAACCGCTTCAGCCAAAGACAGGCCGAAGTTTAACTCCTTCAGAATTTCTTCTTCATCATCGGTGAACCCTTCCAAGGCACCCGGCAGTGCGGGTGACTCCTTGGGTCTGTGGGTGTCCCTGACTCTGCCAGGCAGGCTGAAACCCTGCTTTTTGGGCTTCTCGTCCAGGTCGAAGTCCAACGAGTCGTCATCCTCCCAGCTCTTGAGGCTGCCCCAGGAGGAGTCCAGTGGCTTAGCCTGGGATCTTGGCCGGGACTGGATGCTGGACGGCCTGCCACTATCCCGATTCTCCCAGTTGTCACTCGCCTTGGTTCCCTCAAACTTTGTGGCCAAGTCACCCACCTGATTCTTGTTCACCAACCTGGTTTCTCTTGGTGTTGCTATCTTTGGAGGAGTGGGTGACTTTGCTGAGTTGTTGCTGTCGTGATGCTTGTGGCCGTTATGATGTAGAAACACCCAAACTAGGGTCTGCACAAAGCTCTTGTCAATGCTTCTCAGTATCTCAGGCGAGTCAATAATACCCGTGAGAACATTGCGAGCATCTGAGTACGTATCCACAGGAACCGTGTCGACCGGAGTGAGGGTGTTCATGGGGTAGCGACTGAAAGTGCAGATGGGGAAGCCCCCGGAATGCTCAAAAATCGTCTCAAAGATGTCGTCAAGTCTGCCTGCCTCCACTGTGTGGCAAGAGGTTTCCTGCAGCTCCATGCCCTTAATGCTGAGGGTGCAAAATCCAAAGCCTGCCTCGAGGACTTGAATCCAGGCCATACGGTCTTGAAAACGCACCAGATAGAAGCAACCTGGCATGGGATTACCTGGCGGGAACAAAAAAGTAAATCATCTTTTAGGCTTCCTCACTAACCTGCATCCTTCAAAGTCTGTTGAAAACCACATGATCAATTCTCAGCGCAATGGGTACAGACTCCTCTTTAAAAGGTAAAAACATATCGGGGCACAATTTCAAAGAAATCTAACGCAGAAAATTTGGCTCAACTAGTGTACCCACTTCACAAACATTAACACAGAACTAGCAACTTGAAATGTGCTTTGTACTACATTTTGGCTGGTAAGCAATATTTGCTAGGCAAAGATTATCCTGTACTCAGCAAAATTTTTGTTTAGCAGGTAAACAAATTGGGCCCCTGAATGTTTGCACGTGACAGAAAAAGTGTCTGTTAAAAACATGTTTCATTTTTTTACCACTGAAGGTTTATGTACGGACAGTCTCCACATCCCTTACCAAGACTTCCATTAGCGATCGCTCTGCTCAATGCAGTACTCAGCGTTGGCACCAACTGTTTGTAATAGATACTATCACTGCAGATGTTGGCCGATGCTCCAACGGCACCTGGCCAGAACCTCAGCGGACGGGGGAATCCGATCAGGAAGACTGGCAGCGTGAAGAGTGGTAGCAGTGGTGCTGATAAGACAGTCGCTAGGCAGATGATGACGAAGACGATGGGAAAGAGAATTACCGTGACAATGATGAGGGGCATGCTCGACGACCGGCGCTGTTTCTCAAGGGAGTAAGATGTGATCAGGATGACCAGGAAGCAGTAGAGCTTGTCCAGGAGCTCAAAGAGACGGGTTAAGACGGCTCCGACTAGCAACAGCTGCATACCAAGACCTGCTGTGACCCACCAGGAGGAGGGGTCAAAGGTCAGGACAGAGTTAATGATGTGGACAATGGACAACTCAAGGAGGGCCCCAGGTGTATCCTGCCAGATCTGACGAAAAACAGTGAAAACAATCTTGATATCTTTCAAATATGTACAGTATCTTTTTCTGGCACCAAGATGTACAAGTAAATACACTACTTTTTTCATGGAGATGGACTTTTTTTAACCATGTTAACTGCAACCTCTGCAAAGAAGTCAGAACATGCCCACAATAAGGAGTGAATAAGCATCTATAAGGATTACATTTTCAGTTGCAGAGGAATATCTTTTCTGGGATGGATCAATTAGCTAGTCCTCTCTGTTACAATCAATTTGTGCAGATTTCTCACCACGTAGCAAGACTTCGTTTTTAGCAAATCAAAGGAACATATCTGTCCGTTTGTGTACTGACCCGTCTCAACGACCGTACAGCTCCAAGTGCAAAGAGGAATGACGGTAAGGTGATATTAACTGGAGCAAGAAACAAAGCCAGGTACGACAATGCCAACAAGGGAGAGACTGCAAGAGCAAGAAACAATACAATGATCACCTCAATAAAGTTCTATTAAAACTAAATGGTGACATAAACTAGACTTATTATGACATTTGGAAAAGCATCCGACCTACTTGTATCTACCTCACAGCTCTTAAGTTCCATTAGAAAATTATATCTGCAATATCCATGGCTTCATACAGTAGATGTACATGTACATGTCCATACAAGCTGTCTGGCCACATGCATGCGTTCCACACAAAGTTTGCATGCATCACTCATGGCATGAAGTGGGCATCATTAATTGTTCGTTTGAAATGAGCACAAACCCTCAGCATGGATACCAGGTGCTAGGCAGCAATAAGGCATTCCAAAGGTTAGTTACAAGACGACGTGCTTGGGTAACATTCCAACCCACGACCTCCTGCTTTACCATGTCTACTAGTGGAGACATCACTCAATGTTGGCGTGAAGGTAAAACCATGCATACAGTTTGCATGACTCAATCAGTTGTTTCAGTACTTGACTCAAAATTAACTCACATTCTAAAAATGTTCAAATATAAAGGACATGTATTAAGTTATAATCACCTGCATGAAACAAAGTTCGGTATGCATAGGACAGCCGGTGAAGAATTGTCTTGCGTTTGCTGTATGTTGACGTGTTCTGGATGCTCTCTGGATACAGTTTATTTCGCCACAGTCCAAAAAACAGGCACACTGACTGAACATCGCCTAAAATCTTCAGAAGACACCGGAGAGCAACAAGTCCATAGCCAAGGATGTTAAAGACAGTGACACTGGCCGATGCTCTCAAATAGGCGCAAGTAAAGGACAGCCCACCAATCAAGAGCAGTGTTACAAAATGCACAAGGATTTCTCTCCATCCCCACCTCCAGCCAAAGGCACGTTGTGTTTTGGCTCCCAATTGGCTGTTAAGGGACTGTAATCTGTTGTGCTGTCTTGCTCTGCGCCAATCAAGTATCTGGTTGAATAAGCTACTCAGGTCTAGGCTCAGCACGTATCCTGCACAGGCTGAGAAAATAACAGTCCCAACTTCGGAGGGCAGGAAGTAAGCAACCACCAGAGTGATTCCCGACGCAAGCAACATTAGAATCAACCTGAGATACAGACATTTCAAAAGTAAAATTCAAATTCAAAATTCAAGGATGAACATTCCTGCTTTTGCAAATGTAATTGCTTATTTTTCCCAAGGAATCCTATGCTTTAAGCAGACTTCCTCCGAGGGCAGATCTGGGAGAAGGAAGACAACGAGGGCCATACTCCCCCCTTGTCACATATACATGTAGGTATTTGAAAAATTATGAGAAAGGTAATTTGGGCAGACTATTTCACTTCTTTTCTGTCCAAATACGTGCAAAAAGTCCTCCCTCAGCCTCACCCCTGACAAAGGTTATAAAGGTTACATATCCCGTTAGAAATTCCCAAATTTGGTCCCCGACCCCCTGAAATATTGGCTGTGGATCCGCTTTTGACTTCTTCCAACTGCTGAAATGTTATGCTTCCTCTGTGCATTCCCAGCCAGACACAAATATATAGGGTGCTGGTTCAAATGGAAAGGCCACTATTACATGTAGCAGGCAAGAACATCGCTGGCAGTTTTTTTTGCCCTTTGAACAAATTAAATGTTGTTTCTTCCACTTCCAACCACCCATAATCACAATCAATCCTTAATGACAGCCTGTGGCCCTACCTCAGATCAGTCGCTACCGGAGACCCTCCAAACACCAGGGAAAGAATCTGCTCCCCAAGCCAAAGGATCAGGGCGTCAACAGAGGGCAGCATGCCAATCAGCCATAGAAAGGGCAGAAAGACAAAGATGATATGCAGAATCTGATTCACCCACAGGATTTCTGGATAGGACCTACATTTAGGAAAAACAAAGACAATAGATTCCACTGGGTTGGTTTTCACTTTTACAGACAAAAACTGCTAGGAACTGCCAAGTGACATCAGCAGGGATGAGATTCGATGACACAGAAATATTCATAAAATAATAACCAAAGGTTCTAGGCGCAACAGAAGTGTAGGGTTCGAGGTACATGTATACATGTACATTTGTGTTTGCCTAAACACACTCCTCAAAATGACAATTTCTTCTATTTTCTATCAACTCTCACACGTACAAATGTACCTTTCAGGTAAAGGTCAGGAGTTTCCAGATTTTAAAAGAAATTGATTTACAATGTAAAAATTCCTGAAATCAGGAAAATCCCAATGAAATACCTGATATCAGAAAAAACCTAGAACAAACTCCCCCCCTTGCATCAGAACTGAATTAACCATCTTAATGCTATAGAGGTATTTCCTTCTGTTTTCCTAAGCAAAGAAGACTTTCCAGAGTAATGTAATGGGGATACAGCTTGATTCTCACAGGAATCATTGCCACACACACATACATTGCCACTATTGTTGCCACAAAGGTGCAAGTTTATTGAAATGAAGGATGAGAATATGTACACTTTCCTCAATCTATGCAGATGACTTCAAGAGATTTTCTTAACTTCCATCCGTCTACCACGTCTACATACTGATCCACAGCAATACTGAGCAGATACACCATAGACCCCTTGCATTAAGGTCGAGTCAGAGGCTATTCTTTGTTATTTCAAATTTGATTACAATGAATGCACAAAAGGTTTCCTCGAGCCTATCCAAGAGAAAGAAATGCCCTCTAACGTGACGTCAAACGCAAGGGGTCTATTCTTGATGAGCCAGTTTGGCAAATCTCACAGGTACATGTAAGGGCATTTTGAGAACAAAGCACACAACAGTTGGAACATGCTCAGCGCTTGTGAGCCCAAGTACAGCCAGTCTAATAGAGCTGGCCTTTTGGTTTGACTGTACATGTATATCCACCACTGAAAGCTATAAATCCAAGGCAAGGATTCTGTCTTTCCCTAGTTTTCAGATGTTTTGAGATTTAGCAAACAACAAAAAATTTGCTGAAAGACAAACTAGCAAAGCAAGCAAGTTTTTGACAAAGTTAACCGCTGGCAAACAAAGAGGGAAAACACTGTACTACTTTGCTTTTTTCACGTACATTTGGAATCAAATCCCTGCAGCTGAGAAATTTGAAGAGACTCACCTCCACACCAAATCAACAGCAAAGAAGAGACACAAATGAAATGGCCGCATAAGGGGCATTGTCTCGTAAGGATCCGTCGCCCTGAAAACTGATGATTCTGGTGGTGAAGTAACTGTCAGTGGATACTGCGCGACACAGAGTGCAAACCAGCCAAATATGTACATCACAACAGTCACTCCGACATTATTATAATACAATGCATTCAATGTGCCGGGTACCAGGTACAGGAAACCTAGCCCGCCCATGACTCCAGACACCACGGCATGGACCAAGATATTGATTTTCCATTTCTTCACCGGCAGAATGAAATCCAAGGTTTCCGGCCCAAAGCACGACTCAAAGTCCACCTCATCCTCATCTGCGAGGATGTTCCCAAGGTTCGGTCTCACCGTGTTGGGTGATCTCCTCTGAAGTAGCACACTTATCCCCTGTGCACAAAGGACGTACAGTCCAAGGCATCCACCGACGACGCAGTAGCCAATGACGATGTTGATGCCTGCAAGCTCCACGACAAGTGAAAACATGCCACCAATGACCATGGGAATGACAAACAGAATCATTTGATTGAGGTAGATGTACGCTGGTGCATCATAGCCTAGCCGAAGCTTCACTCCGCCAAGCAGCGTCTGGGGGAAACGCTTCCAGAAAAATTCTCGTTTGTAGTCATTCAGTAGTGGCACATTGTCTCCCATTGTTGTGGTGATGGTGATGAAGTTACATACATGGACACTCAGTCTCCATCAACACTTTGCACCCTTGACTCTCCATGCAAGCTGTAGAGCAAAATTTTAAAAAGGGAAAAAGACGGCAATGCAGTTAACTTATGACACGCCTATTGGCATTTTAACAATATCTTTTGCCCCTATAGACTATCAGATGATGGCAGCACTATGGACCACACAGGGGAGGGAAGGAGAATTTGTCAACACCCAAAAGTCTTGTCTGAACCCCGGTCCGTTCCCCTCACACACACCACGACATAAAGATAAAATTTGTTTATTTCTTTCCCTGTTCAGAATCAGATCTGAAACTGATAATGCAAAATGAAATTTTAATAGCATGTTATGTACACTTGCACACTTTGCCTCGACAAAACAATCTCCATGAGGCACTGACAATGTTTATTTCCATCACACCGTACCGTGGTTAACATGTTTATACCATTTGGGGGTACATATGTAGGCCCTATTCTGCAATTAGGCCTACTCATTGCATTGACTTCAATTAATTCTTTCCCCAAAATGTGTTTTGCTATTTACTGCCATGACTGTAGCCTAAATTGTAGGGCTTAGGATACAGAGGTACAATGTAGATCCTAGACCCCTAAACAGGGTGCTTCATATACTCCTCTGTTTATACTGTACTGGATTATTGACGGAGGATCAGGAGTACTTGTCATGACTGTATAGCCAGGACCATAATTCAGAGGTCCAAAGCTACATGAGCAAAGGCAAAGAAAGATATAGGCCTAAGCAGCTACTCTTTGGGCCATCATGCTAAGCTAAGGCTTATCTTGGTATATCAAAGGATTATGATGCATGCAATAAACTCTTTGAAGTGAAGTATACTGAACTCATCCATGTGTTATCAAAAACAAAAAGACTGTGTTAAACGTACGCATGTCGGAAATACCGGTTTCTTCTATAAGTTTCATACACGTTCTGCATGCGCACGAACGGCGTCTGTATCCAAGTTACAATAAACATTGCTTGACAGACTACAGACTATCACTCAGCCGGCCACTCCACATACACGTAGCGTACTACTTAGAATACGAATGACACTCACAATCCTGAAATATCACGCATGACGCTGGCATGCTACGATGAACATTAATGTTAACTTCACAACAATTCTTTTTTCGTTTCAAATCGAACGACGAATCATGTAGTTCTCGTTGTGGTTGTACCATGGTTCTGTAAAGACAAATCGGACTTCACTAGCACTCTGGAATGTAAGCAGCCGATACCCGCTTGAGGGCGGCATTGTGCTAAAAAAATGAGCCCTTTCATCACCTCAGGTCTGCATAGAAGCTGATAGGGACATTCAGCAAACTTCAGTGTATGAACTTCGGAAAGCGTAGCAAAATATTCTCCGACAGTATGTCGGCACGCGTAATCCCCCTCGTAAAAGTTGAATTCCTTGCTTCAACTTGGCGTTTCAGCAGCCTGCGTAGCATCCCGTTTGAAAATCGAGTCAGTCATTACATTATAACCTTGCGCCCGAGTACATGGACAGCCCTAGGCGAATCTAAAGTGTTTTTTTTTTTATTTTTTCTTGGGGGGGGGGAGTTCTTTCTTTTTTCTGTCGACGCATGGGAGCTTTCCGTTTAATGAAACCACAACGGCTGAAGATAAATATGCTGCAGCAATGCTAAGGGCTCTGTCCGATTGTCCGAAAATTCAAAAGTTCGAGGGTTTCTTCAATCCAAACGTTATGCTTTTGAACGATGCCGTGTTCTACAACTTCTTGGCACTCATTATAATTTGCCACCACATTCTCACCAGCTGATCGTAGGCAGGAGACACATTCGAAACCATGCATCCTTTGTCAAACACTACGCCGTCGTTTCTGAGTCAATTCTTCGGGTTATTTGTCGCCCCGCATGCAGGGGTGTATCTCATCTTGGAGGAATGGAGGGGGGGACAAATTCAAAAGCTAATTCGGCTTCGAGCTCATTCAACACGATGTTCAACAGCCTTACTCACGGTTCCAATATCCTTGCTTTTATTCCATGGTTTTAATTTCTTAGGGTTTTGGTGCTCATATTTGATGAATAAATCTACCGATTATTTTCCGAGTTACTATTATGAGGTATTCTTTTAAAAAAAAATTCGGTCTGGACGGCAACTTGCCCCTGCCCCCACCCGCTGGATTCGCCACTTGCCCCGTGGTAGTGTTGAACACTTTTATGATGTCTTCTCAGCTATTGGTTAGGGGATGGGTGGCAAATTGGGTCTCTTGAGGGTGGTTACAGTGGGGTATTGTACAAATAATGATCGGTTTAAAAGTGCAATGGTAAGAATAATTTCATTCGGTGACAGATGAAATGTTCGATATTGCACCTGGGCGTAATCCGGGGTTGGTTGGGGGCAAAGAATGGGGGTATGTACATGTATCGAGCGGGGGTGGCCCACTGAATCATTCCTCCACTTTGTCGTGGTCGGAAAAAAAAATTTAAGCGGATTGTGAATTTGTGAAAATATTTTTGGACTTCCAAACAACCAAAATGTATTCAATATCACTCGTAAAGGTAGAACAACAAAAAGCCTTAAACATGCAGTTCTGATTCCGCAGGAATGTAGTACATATTATAGATGTGTATCCAATCATGAACACCGCCCCATTACAGTAATGGTATCAGCCCCCCCCCCGCTTTTCAAATTTCCCTGGGAAAGTCATGCCCCATGCACAATTCCCTTTCCTCCATCCCTCAATTTCCGGTACAAATGGACGCCACTGGTTCTTCGCCCGAATGTGAAACATTCCGTTTTGAAATTAGAATATATCTGCATAAATCCTCTTCTTTTAGAACAATAGGTCCCGCCGCTTGTGTATAAATATTTTGTCTAACAGTAATCGTGTCTGAACGGAAGCGCCATCATCTGCGTAGTCTTGGCCGGTGCAACGTGCAGGCGACGTGCGCTGGTGAGCACAGCCGAATAACTGTACCAGTAGAGGGCGCCAAAATTAAGACCAAGATCTTCATGATAATAATTGTAATCTGTTTTGAAATAGATTGTTAAAGTCCCATATGAACTGATCCCTGATTCAACCATCGGCTGTCAGTCTATGTTCAAAAAGAAAACGCCCCCCCCCCAAAAAAAATGCGTGTCCATCCTCCACATAACACTATGAACGTGTTCAGACATTGCAGACTATATAGACAGCTACGTACAGATGCCCAAGCGCGTACTTAAGAATAAATACAAAAGAGACCCTGGCAAGGAGAACATTAATTAAAATAATGTGGGGGTGTTTGTGTACATTACATTACATGTATAGCGTTTTAATCACTCAGTCTTTACGAGCAGCAGTCTTTATTAATATAAATGGCAAGAAGCGATTTCTCTAATATGACCGAAGGGTCAACCGCTCGGTTATCAGATAAGTGGATGCGGGAAGTGTGGTCGGCTGGGAACCCCAAGACCCCAGAAGAGTCCGATATGGAATCTGGTAACTGCGATTCCTTGCGAATTTCAGAAGTCCGTGCGCCTGAATACTTGGTCAGCATCGCATAACGTTTAATTCCCCCCCACCCACATCTGTTTTCTTTTCCCTAGGATAAAACCCGCAAGGCATTTTTCTGGGTTTGAATACAGTGAGCTGAAGAATTGATGCTGATTTCTTTTCTTTTATAATTTTAATCTCCTCGAAGTTTTGGACAGCAATAAAACCTTAGTTCTAAGTGATCTCAAATTAAAAGCAATGGCGTATCTAGTGAGATGTTTCATCATTAATGATTCAACAGTAACAGATACACGAGTAGCAAAGTCGGGCGGCATTCGCCTTCTTATTATATTGATGGAATAAATATTGATTTGTCATGATTACAAATATCGTTTGTTTTCGACTGCAGAGTAATTTGATATTTTTAAAGTTTTCTCACAAAACATTTGTTCCACTTGTAAGTTGGATTTTTTAATCATCTCTTTACGTCACCCCTTTCCGAAATGCATTACACCTACCGCTCTTTGTGGAGGGTTGATCCATCACTGGCCAGACAGGTTTGTCCCAAAAATACAAGCACGAAAATGATAAGACAAGCTCTAAGCAGACCAACAATCTGTTAGAATTTCAACAACAAAACCTCGGACATCGAGAATCCCATGCGTATCAAATCAGTAAGCTTTTGAATTTATAACCCCCATTCTTGCCACAACAGCTGCATAAACATGTGTATCACGAAGCATAGGTTCATTCGGTGTTTCGACCACGGTAACCCACGTTACATTGAATTTGATTGACTGAAACGTTAATGTTGTCATTTTTATGTAGTTAATCCTTGCCACATTGGTCATAGTTAAAATCGGCACTCGAGTTACCAAAATGGTACGACGAAACGTCATTACTTAGTCAAGTATGTCCCTTTTCGAGCTCCTATAGAATACTGCTAAAAATGTACCTATCAATTCTCAAATGTTTCTAAAAATCAAATGCAAGTACTTAATATTACATATTTCCCTAGTTTCTGCACATTGAACGGCATGATTAAACACCGTCTTGTGGAGTGGCCGTAAAACCTCTCAAGATTTTTCGTGAAATTAAAAATCATTTCACTTACCAAACCCAAGATTAGTAATTCGGATTTCTACTCAGAACTCATAACCAAGGATCGTATAGCGCCGCGTAGCGGCGCAAGATGGAGAACGTCAATGCGATTACACGTAAAACGTTGTAATCACACAGGCGCCATTTGAACAAGCGATACGCATGCACAATGCACATTACTGCACAGGCGCAGGCGCCGCGGCAGGCACGTTCCACTGATCTCTACTATACTCAGTGGTGCGTTCACCTGGTGAGCCTGCGCCTAAGCATTACCGTAAACTGCGCAGGCGTATCGCTTGCTCAAAGGCGTCCATGGTAATTACCCGGTACACCTTTTGGGCAGAGATATCCATCTCGCGCCTTCGGCGCTATACGATCTTTGCTCACAATCAGTATCTTGGGGGAGTTCTTACACAACCATGAATAAAAGTTCCAGAATTGGTAGGTGTCCATTCAAAGCCATTGATTAAATTGTGAATATATTTTCAAAATGCAGTTTTTTATTGTTAAAAAAAATAGGGTTGTAAATGCATTGCTTTTTTGTCCACAGTAAACTGCAAATAATAATAATACCGCAGATACAGCGCGCCCTATGAGGATAGATATTGCTCGTAAGATAAGATGCCCTTCAGTGTGGTTGAGGGATGTTTCACAGCGAAATTGCAGGCGTGTAGCTTGCAACTACATTCCTTTGACCAGACCTCCCTCCCCCATCTCCAGTCAACGTTGTGTCTCAGGGGTCACGGCCTGTGCAACCTAGAGAGAATATGTGGCTATTTACATGTGCCCCAACAATTCATTTTAGCCAGGATTGTCAGAGTTCATACGTGTCTACTTACGTGTAGGCAGTGCGGGGATGGCCTTGAATATCATCGGTAGGACGAGCGCTGCATCGAAAGAGTCTAGAGTCTTAACTTTGTTAACTAACAGTAACAATGTTAGTATTAGGCACACTGAGCTGAAAACGCATAACTTCGTTTTTTGTGAATCACTGTCGTAGTGCAAAGACAAAATTGCATTTCTTCCCCGTCGACGAAAATCGCGCGTTGCATGTCGCTCGATGTTCAGGACGCAAAAATAAATGGTGAGCCACAGCACATCATTAAAGAACCTGAGTCTATTAGAATTACTCTCTTTTCTTTCGGGGTTTTAGATGGATAACTGTTGTATTTCTCTACCCAATAACGGAATGACGAATTCAGAAAAATCCCAAGGGATTGTAAGTTGTTGTAGTAGCGTCGTAGTTAGGCCCAGGGCTCATTCCCTGACGTCGGCGGGACCTGACGATGATGGCGCCTGGCTGGCGGACCGCGAGATATATAAGTGCGATCGCGCGCCAAGCGTGTCAGTTCCTTCGCAGTCAATCCCATGTGCCGTAGTAGTATCAGCGCCGTCCTGGTCAGCTCATTTGCCATACGGTGTTCTTTACTGCTCCCACCGGGGAGAACTACCAGGCCCTACCCGTAAGTAAGCGACTTACCGAGGGATCTTTAGACTTAATGTGAATCATCTGGGGACGAGTTTATACGGGGAACTCTATCCACGGGGCGGTAGTCTTACGTGGGGATTTGGTGGATGTAAAACAAGTTGTGCCCGTAGCCTACACCCGTATAGGGATCACGACCTGTATGGAAATCAAGACCTGTATAGGACTAGGATCTGACTAGGAGATTGTCAGGGCCTGTGGAGGTCGCATCATAAGTAGCGCCTGGAGAGGTGTGAACAATTATTAAACCAGAGTCACCTGTTTTTCTCTGTTGTGCTCCCTGTGTCCCACCCTGTCCCTAGCCATTGCATTGATTCGACACAACGTGATAGCTTAAAATCTGAAATCCGTCTGTGGGCTTTGCGGCTGCTCGTTCGTACATTTAACACTGCAAAGATCGCCCTCTGTTGAGATTTATAGACAAGTTTCTAGCCTGACTATAAATTTACTCTCGGTAGAGGGAGTGGCCTCTCCTGGCGAGTCCATTGGAGCTAATCAACATGTTACTATTTTTTAACGTCCAAATTCCACGACTACTTATCATATCCTACCCCTGAACATGCTGAAAAGCCTGGTTTAGTCATTTTACAGCCAGGGCCTCCCCTAGCCAGAATAAATGCAAAAACCCAGACGGCCTTAAGACAGCCTCCAGGCAATTCCCATAGGACTGTGTACTAATGGGTCCCTTGTGCACAACCTAATGGGCTGTTTACAAAACGGTGCCTAGGGCAGGCAATGGAATGTTCTTTATCAGTGACAGCTGTCTGGCCTCTGTCGGCTGTCTTTGAAGTGTTATTTTTGTTGGGGGTGGGGTGTGTGGTGGTGGTATGGCTTGGCTGGCGCGTGGCGAGGGGCCCCCCTTCAAATCCGGTTAGCTTGGGAAAACGGCCCCCGCGGTACCGTGTTGTACTTTTGGTGGGTTTTGGTGGTTTGTAAGATCTGTAGAGGCTATGGGACAACCTCTGAAGCATTAATGTACCTTCAGGACAGACTCAGGGCGGACTCAGGGCTCTGCAAACCGGAAAAATGCAATGGACTCAAAGAAAGAGTCCGTCTCCCTAACCGTGTAGGTTTGACCTTGGGAACGCGTCGCAGGGTAAACCATACATAATTATCGGGTTCTTGTAGACTCCATTCTAGTAGTCATTCGACATTAGAAATCACTCGCCACAGTTATTAGCAAACGCAGCTAATAGAGTACCCCATGTACACCTAAAACCATTGCAGGGAAGGTATACTTCCACCCCAACGGACACGTCTCTAGCCGCTCATGGACGATCCAGTCGTGCCGTCCGCATCGCACACCTGAAGAAGACAGCGCCCTCGCGGGTCCTGCTCCCACCATAGGGTGCACTGAACCAATTCAAGCTCCATTGAAAATAGTGTAAAATCAACCAAGTTTGGAGCCCCATAGCAGGCAACTGAAGTCCCTGAGGCCTCTCAAACAAAAAACAATGTGTTGTTTTGTCCTTCAGGTTTCATTTGATTTTCAATTTTTAGTAGGTTAACCAATGAATGTTTTAATTATCTG